TGTTAAAAAGAACACATTTTATAAACATTTGTGTTTTGACCACTAGTCCATGAAATATAGCAACAAGACCAGCAAATTTTATTACGTGATTTTATGCATCTAATTCTGTATTCACATCAAAAACCCCACATTTATTACCTTTTCAAATTATAGTATGCATTTTTCTTTACAGATAAGCAAACAATATATAAAATCAACGTTCTATAAAATTATAAACCTTTGCATTTGTAAAGAATAAAGGAGTCTAAAATGTGTAGTTGCAAACATTCACATTTTATTAATTTGACCAAAGATTTATATTCTTCTGCGGCTCTTAAAATTTCTTGTCAAGCAGACTGTCAGTCTTGGTTGCTCACTGTGCAGCCTTCTTGATGCTTAATCTATCCTGTCATCTGCAAAAGATACTCCCTACTTTGTGTTGCACTTCACAGGCCATACATCATACTAGCTTTTCACTATGAAACCAGCCTTTTGTTGTTTCTTCCATATGGGCTGGGGCAGCTCGTCAGCTAGTGTAAACTGTTACAGCTCTAGCAAAGCTGGAAGACCTTTCTTGCTAAGTCTACTTATTTTAAACGGGGATCCGTTTTATGGAGCAAGTTTAACTAGCATCACATATACTGACCTGCACGTTTGCTTTTACAAACAAATAATAGAACATGAGAGTCAATTTCCTTTTTTAAAATCATAGTGAAAAATTTTTTATAATCTTTTTTGCTATGCATAGCTTATGTAATTTCCCAGCAAATGTCTCCTTAGAAGCTCATTTGAAAGGATAATTCTAAAATTTTCAAGGTACTTCAAATGATCAAACTTTAATCAGTAGTTTTATCCTGAACCTCTTAGATGGGAGAAAATTCAGAGCGCGGCAGACCTTGTTCGTTGTGCTGGTTCCCAGGAAACTGGCTGGTTTGGCTGCTGAATTTAGCTGGCTGGTGTGTGCATATGACCACTTCCTGGCAGATGTTCAGGTCTGGTAAGCTTTTGTAGTTGCTACCCAGAGGGGAAGAGATAAGTGTTTTGAACCCATAAGGACTTCAGTCTTACTTTGGAAACATGAGGTTTGAACGCTATGAAAGCTGAAGGCCGATTCTTTTACGGGCACAAATCACACACACGATATGAAAACCCAGTACCTTTTCCTTTAAATACATGGGTATCAAGATATGAATCTTAACCTTAACAGGATTTTTATCTTCCTCAAACTTGCTGCTATGTACATCAGGATAAGCCATTGTACAGTAAGAATGAATATCACATATTTAAATGGCTGATCCCTATGCTGATAAAACTGTTTAAAATCATCAGTCAATCAAATTAATCTTTTTTTTTTTTTTGGGTGGGTATTCATCAAGACAGTATCGCTTCCAAGTCTTACATCAAGGGAAATGATAATCCTCCATTCTTTGTGATTTTTGGGATGGTGCTTCATGTAGAACTGTAGAAGGAAAATGTACTCTAGACAGCTTTCCATTCCTGTGATTTCATTAATGATCAAATGCTTTTAAGTAAGTAAGTGGCACGCAGTACCTTGAAGGATTGCAGACAATATATTCAAAACATACAATGGCAGTTCAAAACTCATTGGCATTTGCTTTAGTTTTAGATGAACAGAAAGGCTGGATCACAATTATCTAAGCTGTCTTCATTTACCCCGTTTTATTATATTTGTATTTCATCTAATTTGTTCCAAGTGTGAACGTTTCAGATACTGAAAGAGGTACTGCCCATGAAGGATTTTATTGTATATGGTTCAAACTGGCAGTGATTAGAAACAACCCAGCTTGTCTTCACTTGGCTTTGAAATGCTGTATTTCAAAATAGAGTGCTGCACCCCACGTCTGCATAAAACACCATCTCAAGTAAACTTTTAGTAAAACAGTTTCACCTGTTTAAAAGTATGCTTATTTTTGACTACACATATAATTCAGTTTTTTTAAAGTTTCACTAAAAAAACACTGGTCCATTGAAAATAAGGTGACATATATTACTAGAAGTCAGGAACCCTATTTACTTACTATAAAATTCTGTTTTAAGGCTACCGTTGAGATCACGTTACTTCAACTTGGTTTCTAAGGAAACTAAAGTCTACACACTGATAACCATACAACAATAAAAAAGCAAAAAAAAAAAACCCCACCCACCCCAGTATCTCTCTTTAGTGGGCTTATATAGAGAGCATTTTCAAAGTAGTATTTTATTACAACGCAAATTAAAAAATACATTAGGTCATTCTGTTCACTCTTTGCCATGTAAAAAGTGAACATAAGCTGTTAAAAAAAAAAATGTATGACTTAAGATAATCTCCACAGAGTTATTCCCTTACACAATTATTTTCATTAGATAATCTTTTTACACTGGGAAAGGATTCTTTAGCTGGAAAACACTTACAAAGGATCAAACATTTTGTTTGTATACCACATATAGCCTGGATCTTTGAAAACTTCCTGTCCTTAACTGCTTATAGAAAATGATTCATGGTGCGAACTGGTATTCACAAGTTATTATGTGCATTAATTTATATTTTTTCTTTTTTCTGGGCATCTAAAGATTAGATTTATAGGTAGTGCAGAAATGCATTTTATTTTGTCTTGGAATCGAGATTGCAACATACTTTAAAGTATATTCACATTCTGTATGGATTTCAAACTATTGTCATCGTGATGATGGTTTGGGCGTTTTGTGGGAGGAGGGTTGTATCTCAGAGTATTGGTTTGGTTAAATAAAATACATGGACAAAAGACAAAGTAAGTTTTAAGGAGTTTTATGAAAAACAGTATTTTTCCCAAGCATTAAAAACAGCATACAAAAATCTGTAGGGCTAAGTTCTTATGTGGTTTTTTTTTTTACCTGTTTTTAATGGGGAAAAAAGAAATGGAGCGGAATACCAAAAAATCGCGATTTCTCCTTGAAAATGGTTTTGATACTGTCAAAACAAACTTTTCATTAGAAGATGAAAATGCCATTTTCTTCAACAGCTGTGTTTGGATTAAAGTCTGAAATTTCAATTTTGTCAAGGAGGAAATTTTTTGTGAGGAGAAAAAAAAAAACATTTTGACTGACTATGCTATATAATATATGCAGGATATATATATAGGTACACATGCAGGAATACAGAGCCAGCATCTCCGCTGGTGTAAAACATCTAAGTGTCTCTGAAGTCACAACTTGCCTAACTAACATCAGCTGTGAATCTCACCTAAGAAAGAAATTTTTGCTTATCTCATCTCATATTCACCTCTCTGTGGAATGCTGGAGCCGGTTTCTGAACGACATGATTCTGATATAAAAGGCATAAATATAGTAGTACAGGGAACTACAGAGCTAACCTTCTCAACACCAGAACGCCAGTGGCAAGAAACAGAGGTATGGCTTTAATGTTATTTAATAATGTAGTCTCGAAAAGCTATTGAAGGAAAAGTCAAGCTTGTCTGTAAGAAGGCTGCTAAAATTCTTTCCAGGTCTACAGAAAAATTGTGTCTGCAACGTCATTCTTTAAGACTACTTAAGACTAAGACTAAGATAATGAATTTTTCAGGTCTCAGGGTAGAGCCTTCAACATACTGGTTACTGACCAATGTGGTACTTTTATTTGAGTGAGCGATTCCAGAGGTGTGTGTTCCAGGTGGCGCTCATTTTACTTCTAAAGCTTTTAACACATACGTATATAAAAGATGCTTCTACAGCACAGTAATAGTAAATGCGGTATTTTCAGGCAAGCACACCAAATTCAACTATGCCGATGACTCTGAACTTCCATGTTAATAAGAAAGCTCCCTGTTGATGTTTATCGATATCCAGATTTGTAAAGCTGTACCTTAATGTGTTTTAGTATCTAACTGCACATTTCTATGTAGCAGCCTTTCAGGATTATACTGAATGATGCTATTAAGCAGTACTACACGAGAAATGTAGTGCACAATATTTCAGAACCTGACTTGATTCATTTTAATTTTTTAGTTACATTGGAGAATATACCATTTTGCCAAGTGCAACTCACACTTCTATATTTTACTTTCTTTGGTATGCTCTGGGCTTTTTACAGTTGTTTTTAAAAATTCCATTAAAGTAAAGTGTATCCTTCAGTAAGGATTGCAGAATTTAAAGATAATCAAGAGTCTCATCTGACAGGGAGCAGCTACTCTTGTTTTCCAGTGCTTTCGTCAGACTGTTTCAAGCAATGCAATCTTATTAATTTGTCTTAGAGAACTTTCACTGTGATACATATGTTTAATGAAATGGGGGGAAAAAAAATCTATGCTTATGAGTATGTAGCTTCAGGTGGATGGAGCTGAACTGAATGTATGTAAAATTTGGATAGCTCCCCCACTAAGCTACCAGAAAATATATTTATCAATGCCTGATATTTTATGCTGATCTTTATAAAGTACAACACTTGCTTCTACTAACGATTTGGTTCTAGAGAAGAAATGAACTGTGGTGAAGGAAGTCCTTGCTACAACATTCAGAGGTGCACTTCTTACGCTTCTTTGAATTATCAAATTCAGAGCAATGCCACCGACTTCACTGGTTTTACAGAAGATTTGTGTGCTTCATCAAAGATCAGAATCAGGCCTCAAGATTTTTTGCCCTACAGACCTACATTGTTCATTTTTCCTGAGTTACAGAACCAGCTCTACTCTGTTGCGAAGCTCAAAAGTAGCAGTGATTCTCCTTCTGTAGCTAATTTGGTTATCTGAGTTAAAAGTGGAGATACTTCAGGCAAGAAGTTATCAATGCCTCTACGGAGCATTTAGATATTGAAATCTTTGAAAAACTTCTGCTACACGTTGCTTGGAATGGTATAGGATGTCATTATGGGAATGACAGATCTCAGTGTTAAGCCCATTTTTTGTTCTGCTTTTGTGTGGAAAGGCAAACTGAAGACCAAACTGGTCTGGTTGAGGACTTCTGAATCCTCTTTTGTTAATTTTGTTCTCTCAAATTTGAAACATCACTCCCTCTCCCTGCAAGGTGCCCAAGGCAGATGGCCATCCTTCCTGTCTGAATGGTGACGGGCTTTCTCCAGGCTGGCGAGAATGTTGTTCCATAGGACCATCCAGTCAAGGAGGACACGCGAAGGGACCTTCCACCATTCTCTTCTAAGACAAAGCTTAGCAAGTAACTACAACAGAATGCAAGTTTGGTCAATTTAAGAATTCAGCAGAGAGGCTTCTACTGTACCTAGCGGATCGGAACTTGAGCTCATGGTAACATTGCACAAAGCTGTGATAAATGAAAGTGATCGGCAAGGCTAATAAAACGATGCCACTAACCACACAAATTCCTCCAAGAATCCTTCCTGGTACAGTGATGGGACACATGTCACCATAACCAACCGTGGTCATCGAGATGATCACCCACCAACAAGCAGCAGGAATGCTGGCATAATCCTTATTCTTTGTTCCCAAGTCCAGCCCATTTTCAAGAAGCTGGGAAAGTGCACTGAAAATTGCCATAGCAACACAGATAAAGACAAGTAGCATCACCATCTCTCTGTAACAACGCTTCAGAGTCAGACCAAGTGTTTGAAGGCCAATGAAATGACGAGCCAGTTTAATCACCCAAAAAATCCTCATCATTCTTAAGACCCTCAAGGTGACTCCAGCCCTCTGAAGCTGCGAATTTTCCCCTGTGAAAACTGTCATTAGAACAGAGATGTAGTAAGGAGTAATTGCCAGTAAATCAATGATGTTGAGAGGTCTTCTGACAAACTCACACTTGTTTTTGGAGACGATGAACCTCACAATGCACTCTGCAGTGAACCAGCCTATGCAGATAGCTTCAATTATCCTGTCAAAAGAAACAAAGTACAGCATTTATGTCCTGTGCAAAAGCCTTAATGGATGTTTGGTTTGTTCACAGATATTACCAAATTGACACTCAGACCTTCACAAACAACAAACAGAAAGCCGCGCTATTCTTATCCTGCGCATGTAGCACCAGATTTCAGCAATTAACCGGAGGATCTAGCGAGGAGTTTAAATGCATCATTGCTAAGAACTCACTCACCCACCGATCATTTTCTTTGAATTATAGATTGCTACTGGTCCTAATATTGGTCAAATATGCCTACCAAAACTGGAACCCCACAGGAAATGGTATGCCACCGATGCCAATGTGTAATATTATCATCTAGAACCCCTTTTTTGTTGTTGTTGTCGGTTGGGTTTTGGGGGATTTTGTTCTTTTTTTTTTATTTTAAATCTGAGGCCTGATCCACTCAGGAATACCGAGGACTGTGGATCAGTGAACTGGCTGGTTATGAACAGCGATGTATAGAACCAGACTGCTAAACTAAAATGGAAGTGAAGATGGAGTAGGCAGAAATCAGCTTTTGCATTGGATAATTCATACAAACTGGCTCTTCAGGAACCAACCTAAACCAGTCAGTCTGATTTGCATCCCAAACAGGGGCTTACCTAGAACTATATTCAGAACTTTATAGGTATTGCCACTAAATACAGATTTTTCATCCTTGGGTACACAAAGTGATAAGCCTGTGTCCTCCCATTTACCACTATGCTCTGCATGACTGAATTTTTTCTTTTGTTTTAAATGTAACTCCACCTAAACTGCGTTGCAGCAAAAATGTCAAGGTAACCAAAGCAGTAGGCAAGGCCATCTTCTTGCCAAATACAAACAAGAAAAGAAATCCTGGAAAGTTATTTCAGTATGTTCTTAAATATTTTCAAGTCCCAGTGCAGTGAATGAGACTTGAGAATATCTCAACTTGAAACGAGTGGAAGGTAGAAACAGAAGATGAAAATGTTGCTCTGAGATTATTTAGCAACTGTTGTGCATGTAGTCTCAAATCTCCCATCTGAAAATAACCCTTTTCTTACGAATTCAGACTGGGTTCGCTTGTTGAATACAGGAGGCAATGGGAGCTAATCTTTCCCTCTTTCCTTTGTTTATCTTTTTTCACCAACAGTTTGAGCAAAGAAAAAGCCAATGACCAATGCCTTCTCATACCAACAGGTCTGAAACCAAACTGACGTGAGATTGGGGATTTGAAAATACTACATACAACCAGAGCTTTTTTGCTGCTGCAGGGATCCAACAAGGTAGTGTCTGTAGAAACGTAATGATTTGTAAGTAATAATCCGACTGTCATTTCAAACCTGAAATTTTGCTTCCCTAACACATCTGCGTAATTTTTACCAGTTCTGAAATCTATTGTTATTATTAAGACAATGGCCTGTTAGAAAGACAATGTTGTTCTGTAACTGCTGTAATTATACTAATAGACTCTATAAACTTTCATAAAAGTTTCATACACTAAAGTTTTATTTATTTTTTAATTTCATTTTATTGATTCATTCACTTTAGTTTTACGCTAAAAAATGGAGGAAACGGTAACAATGAGTCGATGTAAAGTTGTAAGGTACACTGTAATTCCAGCCACAACAAATTTAAATGAACATAAATTAATTACTTAAAGAAAAGTTATTCACATAAAATCAGACCTTGTTTTTCTTGTTTCATGAATAATAACGGAAGTTCTGTAAGCAAGTGGCCTTTCTTCATAAAGGGCTTATAAAATACTTGTTCATGTTAGCACCTTTTGATGGAAAGACCCGTGAATTTCAAAAATAGCTTGCTCTTAAGAATTAGGTGTTCTCTTAAAAATTAAGCTTTTGAAAATACTAGTGCTTCTTTTAATAATGACAGTGAGTGATAACTACCTCAGATGCAGGTTTAATTTCTTTTAAAAAGTGCTCAGATCATAATGTCTTCTAAACAAAAGTCATGTACAGGATAGATGAAAGTTATTCTATGAATGTGAATTATCGTTCCTTTATGTAGAAAAAAATCAAGAAAAAAATGTTAATGGGTAAGTTGTCTTAAATCCTTTTTACACATGATGAGGAAATACCTAAGACTTTCCCTAGTAAAATCAGTCAAACAGCAAGATCATGGTAATGGACACACCGATAAAGTCTGAATGTACTTAAACGTTGGCTAGTTGAGATCTCATGTAACGATTAGAAGAAGAATTGTATCTGGATAGAAAGTTGCAGCCAGGAACATTCAACAATTCCAACAGACTCTATTTCATTACATTTTATTTGATATCTCTGGTAGTGCTGCCTGTATCCTATGACATGGAGCATTGAAATGAAAAAGCAATTAGTAATTATACAATTCAAAGCTTTTTCACTCTGTATTTCCTCCTGATGCCCTGATAATGTTGGAAATGTGATTCCTCCATTTTGTCACAAATTAGGCAGGTTATCTCTGAGTTGAGCTTTAAGGAAGTTAGGTCCTGATCGCTGTGATTCAGTAGAAGTCTTCTTTATGAATCAACATTGACTCAGTGGTCCAGTATAACTTTGGGGAATAGTTGTGCAAGTAAAAATCCATGAAATGTGATCAATCCATTGTTTTACTCTGGCAGTTCCTAGCACGAGAGATACTGTAAACCAGTTATACTTCAGTAGGAAGGACTGAAGAAGCCTTTTATTGTAGAACGGACTTGAAGAGAGCTAAGGAACATCACTGATGCAAAAATGACAAAGCAGGATCAAGACGGTGGGAGATGCATTACTGCCACTCCGTTACATATTGCACTTCCATTTCTCCAGTCTACATCTATGCTTCTTTCTCATCAATTACACGCATCCTGGCTAGGGAGAAGATAATGAAGAAGGGTGTCCCTTATTTTTTTCTTTCCTCTCCTTACTTCTTAGCCACCAGTGAAACATGTTTCATTTTTCCTCTCTTGTCACTCCTTTTCGCCTGTGCAGATGGATTTCGGCAGTCCTGGGTGAATCACGTAAAAGTAAGTGTTTTGATGAGAAGAACTAGAAACTTCTGGCCTGTTGGGAAATCTGGAGTGCTACATACTACGTTTCCACTTTCAGATCAAGTCTCCCTCTCCCTCTCCTTGTAGTGACTTATCTTTATAGCTAACCTTGTTAATGGATAAATAACATCTAATAAGGAAAGCAAATTTAACAGTTAGTCCTCAAGAGAACTTAACTGAGTATGAAGTTAAAGCCAAATAAAATGCATGCACTCGGAAGACTAAAGTTACTGTCTCTTCTGTGATCAATTCTTAAAATATTTGCTGCATATTCACAGCACAGACTGCCTTTTATTGCCTATTCCTGGAATAATGCTGTATTAAGATCTATAACTATATAATTAAATCATGAGCTTTATTTGGTAAAATGTAGTACCTATTTTATAAATTTCCATCACAGTTTTTGGTTGTTTTTTTTTCCCCCATCAGTTCAGTTTTAAAATAGCTGGTATTCAAAAAGGAGAGGGGAAATTAAAAACAAACTCATGAAGTCTTTCCTTGAAGATTCCCCACAAATTTCATAAATAACCAGAGAAAATACTAGGTCCTAATTTTTATTCAGTTACAGGTTATTTCTGTTCAAACTTACTGTTCATTGTCCGAGACCTAAGCAGATGAAAGGAGGTTCTTCTCTTAAAATTTTAAGCCTCTTGGTACTTAACAGTCTTTCAACATTGCTCTAATGAGTCTTTTGTCCATAAGCGGAAAATCAAGCCTTTGTGAGCTTCATTTCTACTGTAATCCCATCACTGTTCAATTTTCTGTTCCATCTGATAACTTCCTTTCAGAACAGGTTATTTTATGTACAATGAGTCAAACCACTTCAGAAATTACTTTTTCAGTCACTAACAAGACTAGTTTGTTATTACTAAAAAAAATCATATTGTGAATGTCTTAGAATATTTCAACTTAGCATTATTCTTTGCCCCAGCGTGCCAATTTGTACACTTTCAATAGCCCCTGGTGAGCTGGTTGAAATCTAGCCAAAACATTCGTTAGTGGCACTATTATCTATTAAGCTTGTAAATAAAACATACACATCAACGGGACACGTGAGGAAAACAGATGATATGATTAAAGACAGTATATGACAGGATTACAGATTACAGTCTGTCAGCACTGATTTGTTAAATTGCTGCTAAAGCCTATTTCCATGTAAAGCACATTAAACCTGAAAAACGTCCAAGCAGCAGCCAGAATGATCAAATTCCTGCTCAGGAAGACTCCTAGTCATTTCAGCAAATGTCTGGTGTTTTTTTTTTTAAAATCCTTTTGAAATCAACAGGGTTTCTGTCTCACTACAAACTGCAGAGTAAGGGCCACAGAACAGGTAGTTTCCCTGAATTAAAAACCTTGCTGGCTTTTTGCCATTCTGTCCCTGCTTTGGTAGCAATAATACGTCTTGATGCATTAAACTCCGGTGCCTTATGTGGGAGGCTCTAATGACCCAGCACTCCCCAGGGAAGGGGCAAATGCCTTTCACAGCTCTCTGGGGGTAGCTGGATATGAACATCTCGAGCCCTGGGGTCCTCAGCATCTTTTTCCATATACTTTGAACACGAGTGGCACCTAGCCCTGGTGAGTTCGTTAAGGTTCTCCTATGGCCAGGCAGTGATACACGTCCGTTCTTTGTGTAATCTCTATTTTTCAAAAAGCCCATAAATTCATTAGAAGAATCCACCTCCGTGTTTTTAACTTAGGTCTGTAGTTCCATTCTTTACCTTCAGCCTACTGTTTTCACTTAGCAAAAATGTGCCAGTCAGGTTAGATCTTACCCAGGAAAGAAGTTGTTGGTTTTTTTTTTAACAGATGTTGGGCGTGAGCATTTGGGTGTTCTGAAATTCCACCACCGTAAAGCAATAATGTTTTTTATGTGTCTAAAATTCAAATGCAACTTTTTAAGCTGATGTTTTGCAGAGATTAAAAAAAAGCCCACTGGCATCTGTTGAGAGATGCTGTTTGGAGAAGTTACTGTGTTTATTTGCTTTTGCTTAAGAACACAGCAATCATATAGGCTTGATAACCAAGTGATTCTTTCAATACAAATTTAATCACGATTAGTAAGTGGAAAAGGGGCAACAGTCTCTCCCTTGTGCTAACAAGCTACTCGTATTTAGCGTTAGAAAAATAGTTTAAAGGCAGGTAGATAGAACTGTGCTGGCAGTAAGTCAAGCAGCTTCAAATGACTTCCTATTACAGGCTTGAGAAGCTCTCCCCAAAAGATTATGCTTACGATCAGTGTGTGGACGGGTCCCTGATCAGAGACTCGCAGTACGCATCTGTCGGCACAGTTCAGAAGAGAGCAAAGATGACTTGAAATTGCCAGAAGCAACAGAAGGGGAGACAGGTGTCCCTGCT